ATCTGGAAAGGATGGCTTTACCGATCTCGTTGCATTCCTCGTATACTTTCATCAAGGCACCTCGTTCTCGGAGTTTATGAATGGTATCAGAATTCTTTCGCCACCCTCCTTGATCAAACCAATAGATGCATTGATGCTCATAGGTACAGAAGTACCTCTTATCATAACTTCCGGTGATATATATGGATCGGGCTTCGTCACGATGGTTGCAGATGGCGCAAGCCGGTAGGTTTAGTTTATTTTCAATCATACAATCTCAGCAGGCTAACGCTTTCGTTCCATCTTTAGTAAAGTACGCTTTACTATGATATAGGTCGATATATCGGGAACATTCATCGCATTGTCCAATTTGATCGGTTGGGATTATTTTTCGCTCAGCTTCTTCCCGGTCGATAAACCTTTCTTCAGTTCGCTGAGCTATGAAGAGCTCGCGTTCTATCTCTTCGGTCCAATTTGCTTTAGTTTTCAATTCTGCTCAATATGGTCGATATTGCTGGATGGCAATCCAATCGACCAAGTCGTCATAACAAGATCGGCATCAGTGGTTATCTGTGTAGAGTCGTTTGTCGCACCAACACTTCTTGTTTGGTCCCTTCCAATCGAAAGACCACCGTTGTTCCGGTACGCTTTCTTGTTTGAATTTTTCAGTGAGTCGACTATAGTCGTCCCAGGTAAATTTCTTCTATCTGATCTTCATTCCTTCTTGGTAGGCTTGGATATCGTTAATGTACCTGATGCTTCTGATCACCCGCATAGGTACAACCTCGGCGTCGATATACCGTAATTCTCTTCAGACCGTTTTAACCGGCGTCCATTTTTCTTCCAGTATAATTTCTATGCTTTCCTCGGGTTGAAATTGGACTTTCTTCTTTCGGGGTTGGATGGTGATCCAGTCGTCATTCATACTGAACATCAGGTAAGATTTCTTATCCAGATCCTGTTCTTCGAATTCGGATTCTTCATCTTCTGAATCTTCGCTATCATCTTCTTCCTCAGATTCTTCCTTATCATCTTCGTCGGTAAAATTGGTGCGCTGACCGTGAATGTACTTGATGGAGACATTTCCTCTCTGTCCATCCCAATCAAAGGTAAGTAAACTTTTCTTTATGTTGATTTTTGCGTTTATCTTATTTAAGAAGTTCATGCTGACTACTACAGCATATGTACGGGCTTCGGTAACGTCGACTTCGGTTGGGATTACGATCCCGTCAATAACAATCGGCAAGTTGTCGATGGCTCCCAGTGGCTGTTTCGAATGACCATTGATATCGGTCATTGATACATTGGATTTTCTTTGGATCTTGATTCCCTGGGTTTGGAGAAAATGCTGAGTTGCCACGCATCCTGACGCACCGGTATCAATGATCAAATCGATCATAGTGGTTCCGACCTTGGCTTCACACCAAGCAGAAGTGGTTTTGATCTTCTAAAGGACCATTCCGGTAGCTCACCTGACGTTTTTCTTCTGGATCGGTCGTCTCATAGCTTTAGACATTTTTACTCGTTGGGCTGGAGAGGTTTCGATTAGTTGGACGACCGTGATGTTGGCTTTCATCATTGCCAAATCTTCTGCGATGTCGTAGGGAATTGCCTTGGAAGCGAGCACAGGCAGGACGGCTTTTCCTTTCTTCTTTCTGATCTTCTTTTTGTCTTCGTTATTTTCAATTGCTAATTCAGATGGACCGTCTTTTTCCATCTCATGATTTTCTTTTTCCAGATCTTCGCTTTTTCCTTCACCTTTGATCATTTGACTTCGGGTTGTTGGTCTTTTTCCAAGGGGATCATATCGCGAAGTGGTTTTAGTTTTTCTCTCACCGGTCAAATATTCGTGAGTGGTCAAGAGAGAATTGTTTGTGGCTGTTCCATTTTGTAGTGCATCGGTGAGCTGTTGGATTTGCATCAATAATGCTGTATTAGTATTGTTGTTTATTTGTCCATTGTTCGTTGATCCACTTGATGCATTTGGTTTGATGTTGTTTTGTGGATATGGATTCCCATTATTCACATTATTGCGATCTCGCCAACCGTTCCCTCGATTTTGCTGGTAACTGTTGGTGGGAATTGATTTTGAACACCCAGTACTGATGTGTCCTTCTTGCCCACAATTGTAACAGGTTATTGGTCGTCTGTTATATTGGGTAGTTCTTGCTGGATATCCACTCTGGCTCGTATTTTGGCGGGTTGGTGACGTTTCCAGATGTTCTAGCCTACGGGTTAGTACACGGAGAGCAGTCGTCAGCTCGTCAAGTTGGAAGTTTGGGGAATTGCTGGCTTGATGATATGATCTTGCTATCGGTCCAGATTCAGCTTCCTCGGCTTTCTTGGCAACTTCCATGATATTCAATAGGGTTCCGTCTGAATTTACTTTCACCCACTTTTGTAACTCCGATTTTAATCCACAGCAGTAGATACGAACACGGCTCTCTTCATGTATGTGATTCTCTGGGTCTGCTTTACGAAGCAGTTCGTAAAATTTATCGGTATATTCGTCTACGGTTCCGACTTGCTGTAACTCTTCTAACTCGTCTCGCCATTTGTCTAATCTTTGATGGGTCCGAAACTTCAGCGCGAAGTGATGTTTGAAATCATGTTCGTCATGATGATTGTTTGTCCAGTCGGTTAACGCAGTGGCATTGTTCGCTGCTCGTTCGTCAAACCAGATAGCGGCTGGTCCTTCCAAATATCCTCGCACGATTCTAATCCTTCTTGCAGGGATGATTCCGTTCGCTTCTGCGGCTACCTCGAAGTCTTTGAACCATGCAACTGGATCTTGATCACCTCCACGGAATTTCTTCATTGGAATAATCATCTTTTCCATGGCTCTGGCATTCTGTCCGGTCAACGCGACTGTCAGTTGCTGCACGACGTTCAACACATCGTTAACGTTGGTCATATTTTCTTGTTCGTGAGATGGGCTTTCTCTCTGCTCGGGTTCGTCGTCTTGTTCTTCGTCGATTTGGCTTGTATCATTATCTTCGTTGATAATTGTTTCCTCGATATAGATTATTTCTTCTTCGTCGTCGGTGTGTGAGTTTTCTGGACTAAAGAAATCGATTAGATTCCCGTCTTCAATTGATCTTTTGGATCTTCTTTCTTCGTCACTTCCTTCGGTCTGCGTTCTGGCGTCGATTGTTTCGGAGTAATACTCGTTGGAATCGTTTTCTTCTGGATCCTCGTTGTCGGAATTGTTCTGCTCGTTGGTGTGGGTTCCAACGAATCTTTCGTAGGCGAAATTAATGAGCTGAATTTGATCGTCTACTACTAGATATTCTCCAAACAGGACGGTATTTAATAAACGAACAATTCTTTGGCGGATTATGGTCGGATGGACTTCGCCGTAATTGTAATCAACCAGTTCTTGGAACGTCTATTGTGAAATACGGTTATACAATTTTGCTCCGGCAGTTTCAATCCAAAGCCAAAATTAATGGAAAGGAAGAGTGTGTTCTTGGAAAGGGGAGTAACACAACGGGCAATAGGGTTGTAACGATGGGTTTCGCTCTTCTCCGGGGAGATGTTGTTCTAGATGATTATTGATCAGTTCGCCGGTGAATGTGTAAACCTCGTTCATTCACAGCGGCAGAATTCTTCTCAAATTTCGGAATATGGACGAGTAATTCCACAGAGGGAGCACCAAAATGTTATGTCTATTTTTTAATTATTGTAATTAGAGAATAGTGAATAACATAAGTTTTTG